TCTCTGACATTTTTATGTTCCAACTATATTTCTATGAACAAAACTATGTATTTTAAATTTGGTAACTAACAGGAACAGTACCATGCATGGCTTGTTACAGTAGACTTATTATCATACATTGTTTTTTGTTAATTCCCCTATGAGTAGCAAATTTAGACTTTTTTTCTATGATGATTACTACTAACTCTTTCTATGACCCTTTTCCTTCTCTTGTTAAAAATCTTTAAGCGTGGATTTCTTGGCTGTTTTGTATATACAAAAAAAGTGTTGATCTTGGCTGATCTAGAGGATGCGTTGAAGCAAATTTGTGATTGCAGAACGGAAGAACGAGTAAGGAATTATACAACAAGGCTTCTCCAAAGATAATTCTTTGTCGACAGTGTACAAAAGTTCACTTGTAAGACATCAAGAAACCATGTTGTAGGGCTAAAGACTGTTCATCTATTCATTTGCCATAATTAGGTACTTGGGAGTACAGACTTACAATTGAATGAGACTGCGAGTTTGGTTCGATGAGACCGGAATGATAGAGCTAGGTGTAGATGGAATGTCCTTGCAATGTATCCCCTTGCTAGTGAATTCAATCCAGGTATTGTAGTGCCATCATGTGGTCGTTATGGTAAATTTGTAAAAGATGGGCGTGGATGTTGGGAATTGAATCTAGGGCAGGATATAATGGAAGTGGAAAATTCGTAGTTAGTACAACCAAGGAAATCCAGCAGCCAGGATTTTTCACAGTCCAATTGTTGATCAATGACAATTGTGCTCCTGACTACAGGTTTACAGGGGTGATGTTGAGTTCATTTCCAGTAAGGGCCACTAGCTGAGGTGTTCACCTCTACATATTTGTGTACTTGTATGGCCGCGTTAGCTCTGGAGAATCAGTAGAAACCTCCTCTGGAATTTCTCTTCCATATTAATCAATTGGGCTCAGTGAAGTCGATCAAAGTGATCAGAGACTATACAAGTCAAATGGTGTGAATCTGAAATCTAAATGAAAACACTAGGGTAGAAAGAAGTATCCGGAAGACATCCTGCCAAAACTATACAGTCAACAATTGGGCATGAGAGGAGTATGGCAGGAAGTGCACATGTCAACACTATAGGTGAGCATGAGTATCCCGTGATTGCATCAGTCATTACTTTGTATAGAAAGGAGTATCCTGGGAGTGCAACAGTCAATATTTATGCTAATTCAACCTCGTTATCTGTTATTACCTTCCAGCACGTGGTGCTGCCGTGGGATATAGTGGTTATCAGCGTCCGTTTGCATGATCTGATAAACATATTTAATACCCATGTATGGTCATGTGAACTCAATAAATGCTTAAAAGTTGTTATTTTAAACCATGGAGTCGTAAAGCAGTCAAAGTCAACATAATTGGAGAATAATTTGTTGATTGAGAAATTATTTTGACCTTGCCTAGTTCTACAAATTAAATTGAAGCAGCGAGTGTATAAGTAGCTAACATCTCGTGACATCAGGGGTCCCTCTCTACCATACTTCTAAATTTTTAACTTTCAATTTCTAGAGTACACCAATGTCCATGGGTTGTGTGAGGCGGCGTATGGTAACCTTATGCAGCTTGTAGATGAACTAATAATACCAGTGAATTAACAACTTGTAACTGAACTACATACAGTGTGTGTTACAGTCAGATGTAGCACTGTCAGGAGAAGCGTAAATTTATAGCTAGGTCAGAGAGTGGTATCAACGGCACACAGCTATGGACTTGTGAGACTGTTATATGCATTCTGCAAAGCTAAATTGGATTACAATGCCGTGTTAACCTCAATAAATGACAGGTATTATTCTGTCTTATCACGTGGTTGTGTTTGTACTATGCAGAAAAAATTGGATGTTTTTTAAGAACGATGATGACTGGATAAATAAATTGAATATCACATTATTTGAGTTGATGTTACGAATAGAAAAGTGCAACATGTATTACTAATTAGTGTGTCGAGCGATAAATCAATATCGTCAGCCACGTCCCAAGAGCCCTAGTCCTTGTCATATGCCCACCGTCGCTGCCAACCTGTCAAGCCAGAATTAACGCGCGAATATCACTCAGATCGCCATTGAGTCACTGCAGTGATGTATACAGAATCGCGTACTTAAATATAAACGACACTGCTCATATTGTGTGTGAAATTAATTGTATTATGTGGCACGATCACTATCACGTTCAATGTGGAAACAAATTCTTCCACAATCAAAGAAACTGCGTGACCACGCATTAAAAAGTGCGTTTAGACCGACAATCATCCAAAAAATGAACTGGAAATATGCAACAAAACGACTAAAATGCATCTTACACTGAAGCGCTGGCACAAATATGAAATGTGGGTTATCTGTTTCAATTTGAAAATATTTATATTATTATGATTTATGCAAAGCTTGATGCAATACGCATATCACGAAAAGTGACATTTGAATACGCCTTTGCAAGGTGACAATCACAACTGTTCCAACGAAAATAACCAAACTCGATGCAAAGCTGTTACACGTTTCCTGACAAAACACATAAATTAATCACAATATCCTGAGAATATTGTAAACATCTACGCTGGGCGATAGTACACACACATCAAACGAAGAATGTACTGTCACTTTATTTGCATATAAATATATAGCCACTATTGTCGATATCGCTGACCCAAAATGACATCAAAGTGGGTGCATCAACAATTCCACTAACCCCGTGTCGCTGCTCTAAACCAAAACTTGGTATATGACACTACCACAGACACTTGCAACGTTGCGAGTAATTAACACAGAGAAAAAATGAATCAAGACAGAGACATGCTCCACTTTGTTCCTGGACGCATGTACAATAACATGTTAACACATTTGTAAAATACATTGTTGAATATGTTTCAGTATTGATATGTAAAACACGTCTACCCACAAATATTGGAACACGTCACAATACGTATGATGTACTTCATCACGAATCAAACATTAATGGGTAAGTAGACATGTTTGATGATGGAAAGAATTAAATTCTTGCCATCAATGCTAATATTTGCTACAGATACAAATAACATGCAACAGATGGTCCATACACCAAAAACCCTGAATAAAGGACAACTTTTAATGGTTTGCCTGGACATTTCTATACCACAGTTTGTTGCACTTAATGTATTGTACCTGCCAATGTACGTTATGGAGTTGTTTAATTACATGGATGTGCCAGGGTTATTGACTGCATTACGTGACATATGGTATACGAGTTTGGAACGTTTACTATTGAAGCTACAAGGGACACAAATTCGTTGTTATCTTTCATTTAGAATCTAACATTCGCAACAATGCAGCTGTCAGCGTCACAGTATTTCAATGTATACCATATTAAATCACACAAATATCAACCAAGGTTATCAAACTTTGTTGTCTGTATGTATAATGTCTGATCAGTCAATTCCATTCATTAGCATCTTTCATTGTAAAGCATGTGGGTGTCGTATATTATAATTTATATCACTTAGATTTTCCTGACTAGCACTTGTGTATTACATATTTCATATTATTTTGTACATACAATGAAAAGTGATACATACAAAGCTGAACAAATAATACAGTTAGACTGTTCAAGCCGTTTATATCGTGGGCATATTAATTCAATACAGGTCATATTAAAGTTCAAAATGGCAACTATTTCATTAAGAAACATCAACGCACACAAAACAAGCACCCTCTCGGCTGAGATAGCTCCACTGTTAGCAATGCACATTTCAATTAAAGAACAGAAGATATCATTAGAAAATGAACAATATGCATAGTATCAATGCAATGGGACTTGCTGTTTTCAACAAGAATTCACAAATATAATTTTTAACCATAAATGATTGTGGTTTTTAACAAGAAGAAAATATCACTTTTTACCAAAAATATTCATCAAAATTAGAGAATTGAAGATATCATCATGAAATGAACAAATTTGAGAGTGGTCCATATGTAGTATCTATATATGTAATATCAAAGCAATTGGACTTGTCGTTTTTAACAAGAAGTCGAAAATATCACTTTTTACACAAAATTACAAAAATATTCACCAAAGTTAGAGAATTGAAGATATCATTACAAAATGAGAAAATCTGAGAGAGATACACATGTAGTACGTATATATGTAATATCAAAGCAATTGGACTTGCGGTTTTTAACAAGAAGTCGAAAATATCACTTTTTACCAAAAATTACAAAAATATTCACCAAAATTAGCGAATTGAAGATATGATCATGAAATGAACAAATCTGAGAGAGGTCTACCCAAGGTACATATACACCAAGTATCAAAGCATTCAGGCTTGTAGTTTTCAAGAAGAAGTCGAAAAAGTTAAACATTGACACGGACGACGGACACCGGACAATCACTTATATGATAAGCTCCACTCGACAAATTCGACAGCGGAGCTAACAAAACGAGATGATTCGTAAACATACCATGGTAGCTGATAAAACCTAGTTATGGAACACAAGAAAGAGAAATACAATTTAACAGCTAAGATAGAAATGAGACTGAATGACTTTCTCCAGAAATACAGAAAGAGAAAGCTATACACAATACTTTTGAAGATAAAAGGTAGTGGAAATTGAATGCATGGTCATACCCAATGCTGGTTGCTAGGTGTTTGTGATATAATCACAACAAAGATGGTTTTCCAGTCAGTCCACAGACATTATGATGTCATTAAACGAGAGCTTAGTTAAACAAATGTGTAGTTTATTCATGGTTCTGCCTGATAAGATGATACTAACAGAAGAATGTGTACACCGAGTAATGGCCGATAGAGAAGTGATTCATACAAATACAGTGGATAGTTCCATGTATATTATTTCCAAGCCAAGACAATACATAACACATGGCGATGAGGGATACACCGAAAATAATTGGATTACTAATGTATGTATCAGATGTTACAGTGTAAACAGGCAATTGTAAGTTTGTTGTCTGGACACTGTTAGTATTAGATTTGCATATTCAAGGACAAGAATCTGAAAATTATTAATTTTATTGGTCTAAAAGGACATGAGTTCAGACACTTTGTGGGAAATCATCTTGCATATATTGCTGCCACCACCTTCCTAAATCAACGAAACAGTTCAGAAGAAATTTGAGGGTGTTCAATGTCCAATAGCTTCAGTGTCTTCCAGAAGTATTTTGGTAAAGGAGCTGAGATTATGAGGTCTTCTTTCTTCTTCCAGCTGGGCAGTGTCATGGCAACGCAGTGTAAGTGGAGTGGTATGCTGTCTATCACTGCAGAGGTTAAGTTCATTCTGTGTCTTACTTCTTCAGATAGAACCTGGAGAGCAAAGAAGTGAAAATATTTGCTGATTAATATGCGTATTGAACATGTGCTGTGATATCAACTGAAAGTCCTTGTTATATTTCTATCACAAGCTGGTGACTGATTTATTAGTAATTTTATGTCATAATTTATTTTTCCTCTATATAAAAAGGTAATTACAATGTCTGAAGTACTTCAAATCTGGTATGTGAATAGTTCAATGATGAATCAAAGATATTACGATGAAAATTATTTTGATTGATGACTTGAACAGACGTTGAAAATAGAAGTTGATTGGAGCATACGAATATTAGAGATTAGTACAGTCACCATCATAAAATGTAGTATTGCAGTACTTATCAGAAGCAGTATAAAATCGGAAAATGAAAAAGAAAATTCGAGCTACTATTGCTTTAAAAACTGATATACAAGCTTGAAAAAAAGCTATTTCCTGGAAAAGCAGTCAAGACAAAATTCAACATACAGATACAACAATGTATTTCTAGGTCATATGACCTGTTTTAGATTTCTTTTTAAGTGAAGCTTCTGGGTGAATGGATGAACTGCCATAGATGCGCAGAACATTTACCACTCAACAAATTTCACCAGCTTTCATATATGGTAGCTACTATGTGATAAATTTCACATTCAAGATGATAAGCTATTTGACACAACTCAGTAAGTTGTCATTAGTGACATTGATGCGGTTATTGAAGAAATACTCATCACAGTTCTGTTAAGGTAGCACATACATGTCTGCCAATGAAGAGCAATTGTGGAGATGTACGTTTACCTGGCAACATATTGAAATTCAAAGCAGAGACTTTTTTCAAAATACATTTAATAACAAGCCATGCATGGCACAGTCCCCGTGTCAGTTATCGAATTTAAGAAATATAGTTTTGTTTATAGTAATATAGCTGGAATATAACCATGTCAGGAATATGATTATGATTGTTTGACATTAAAATAATTGAAATTTGTATCTGATCGTCAAACAAGTACTTGTCCTCATTGAGAGATATTGCTCTAGAACAGCATTAATAAAAACAAAATCAGCCATTTTGAATACATGTATATATCTATAACATGATGTATAATGAATATATAAAAGTTGAACATAATCAGTCAAAGCATGTCAGAGATATGTCTCTAGAAGCCCATTCATTATTAAACAAAATGGCCGCCAGTCAACCATTTTGAATCCGATCATAAAAATAAAATGACATGCATCAGGAACCCATAATGTCTAATGTATGTACCAAGTTTGAACGATATCCATCCATAAATGCCAGAAATACTTGATGATTTTTTTTAGCACAACAATGGCCACCATTTGGCCAATTTGAATAGGATCATGAAACCAATATATTTGTATATCTATGACATGATGTATAATGAATCTTTAAAATTTGAACATAATCAGTCAAAGCAAGTCAGAAATATGACACTAGAACCACATTCATTAAAACAAAATTGCCGCCAGTCCGCCATTTTGAATCTTATCTGAAAAACAAAATGAACAAGGTCCAATGTATATACTAAGTTTGAACAAAATCCATCTGAAAACAGAGAAATGCTTAATTTTGGTGATTTTCAGTACTAAAATGGCTGAAATTCGGCCATCTTGAATCAGATTGTGAAACAAATTGATGTGCATGTGTATAATGTCATGTATGATGTCATGTATGATGTATGTGTGAAGTTTAATTGTGATTGGTACAGGTATTTCTAAGATACAGGTGCACATACATGCATACATGTGCACATGCACATAAACACAAGTCCCCGTTTTCGGAATGTGTCTGAACGGGGACTAACAAAGTGTAAGAGAAATTAAAATGAAAAAGTGGGGGTTCCATGGTAGCTATAGGCAATAAACAATTATTTGATTTCAGATTTAGTATTGTTGTTTTTAAATAGAGAATAGCTGCACTTACATGTATCTGATTAGTGAAAGTGTCTTTAATGTTATGTAATTTGGGGAAAAAAAGACATTTTTTAAAACTGACCAACATGACCAACATATATCAATATGTAAAACTGATCAACAATTTTAAATATTTATCAACTTTTAAGACTGCTGAATAATTTTAAATATTTATCAACATTTTAAACTGCTCAACAATCTTGAATATTTAACAACATTTTGAATTGCTCAACAATTTTAAATATATATATCAACTTTTAAAACTGCTGAATAATTTTAAATATTTATCAACATTTCAAACTGTCCAGCAATCTTGAATATTTAACAACATTTTGAATTGCTCAACAATTTTAAATATATATCAATATTTAAAACTAGATATATATATATATATAATATCAATATTTAAAACTGATCAACAATTTCAAATATTTATCAACTTTTAAAGACTGCTGAATAATTTTAAATATTTATCAACATTTTAAACTGCTCAACAATCTTGAATATTTAACAACATTTTGATTTGCTCAACAATTTTCAAATATATATCAACCTTTGAAACATTTACACTAATTCTGAAGCTTAGTTATGTTTGAGTATATAAATCAGCATCAACAACAAAATAGGCAGTAGGAGTACTTCATGAAAATTTTTACAATGGTGACAAAACATTAAGGAATTCATTTTAGACAGAAATACTCAGGGTAGTCGAAACTCACAAATAGAAATATTGAATCACTACAACATAAATATACATTGTATGAGGCAGTTTTATAAATTGTATAATATGTTTCTGACAAATAATATGAAGAGACCAATACATGAAAAAAATTAAGTGCCCTACAGACATAATTGTGTCAGTATAAACTGGTTGGATTTGAGCTGTCACTTTCATCTGCTGCAAATACTTTTGTTGGAAATTGAGCAATAACATAAGCAGCAATCAACTGATACACATCCAGTGCTTTTTATATGATTAAAGGAACACAAGCCCACCCTGACCTCAGTGAACCTATTGTGTGGATTTGAAAAAAGAGGATTATAGTTTGTAAAGCCTTCATGGGATACACCAAGCTTTTTTTTTTTTTTAAATATTTTAGGCTCTTTTGAGTCCACTTAATATTAATTTCTCCTTTGACAGATTTACAAAGTTGCGTGTTAAGTACCCAATAAGCACAGAATGGGACCTCACCACAGCTAATTGAAACCTTCCATAACAAATCGCCATACAGACAGATTGGATGCAAGAAGCATATAAAAAAGCTACTGTCACATCAATTTAAGTGTATGCCTGCCGTGTAATTTGCAATCATTAATGTCACCATCGAATTGATAAATGTGATATTGAAAATCCTGAGGGGTATAGGTATCCAATGCATTACATGTACTTCAGACAGAAACAGAATATGCAAATTATGTATTTTAAAATGAAACTGACTAACATGGCTGGACAACAAGAAAAGTGGGGGCTCTGCCTTCAATTTACTGCACCCATCTGTGAAAGCATAGTGTGAATGAACTGTGTGGACATTTGCATAACAAAAAGGTTCAGGTCAAATTGAAGATATGTCATTGTCTTTATTATTATGGGTTAATTCCATTAGGAAACTGAACTTAGTTAAACTTGGGTCACTGAACAAGAAAACAAAATGTCCAAAATAAAATGTCAAAATTTGCATTTTTGTACTGGTTACCATGGTGAAATTATTTCTTCATATCACAGTTTTATGGGTGACATGACATAAATGAAAACTGATATGAACCTTAATATTATTGATTTCAAAAAATTGACATTTAATTTTAAAATTAGTAATTTTCCAGTGCGCAATATTTGGACTACCTTAAATGGTGAGTTAATATTTCACTCACCATTTTTTGATATACTCATAGTGACAGAATGTAAAATTGTCGATGGTTCTAGGAATAATTTTCATAATCCATACATAAACCAGATCAACATTTTGCATTTGTTCATTTGCATCATATGTGTTGCTCATACCAAGTGTATTTATTATAATGTCTTTGTACTTACTTCCAACAAAATAATTAAGGACACAATATCATAACAGGCATCTAGTCAGCTAGCCATTATGAATCAAATCTATTTGCATAGATAAACACAGAGAGACAGACAGACAGCAAACAAAAACTTCCTTTTGTGCTTAAACATAGGAGTTAAAAAGTGCTTGATAAATGTGTCAGTAACATACATACCACATCAGCTATAGAATATTACAAATTAGCCAAATCTATAGTAAAGCCAAACCATGTCAAAAAATGAACAACAACATACATTAAAAAGATAGCAAGATGTTGAAGAAAAAATGGTAAATACCTGAGTTCCGGGCATAGCATTCCGTGCATCAATCAAAACAGGAATTCCCAGTATTGTTTGAATGCGAGAGGAATACACATGGTCTCCTAGGATACGACAGAGCTTAGTTGTCATGTGAACTCTTAGTTGGTCCTTATATGCTACACAAGAAGATGAGAGTAAGAAAAAAAATTGAAAGCAATTATAATCATATTACATACTGTACTTGAGAGTTAAGTTAATTTCAACTTATAGTCAAGAGTCTTTTCGAGTGAGTAACAGAAGTGCTCATTTAAATCTAACTTCTTTTTGTCACAATGAACTATTGGGGTAATGTATATTAATGTGTTGTATTATCATACAATGGGCAAGGTATTCTGTTTACACTGGGAGGTTTGCTTTTCATTCCTTAGCTCTCGAGAGCGAGGGTTCTTTGTATTTATGTTGGTAATCGCCGCTGTGTCTGAGGAAGTACTATGGGGCATTGCATGATGGGAGTGATAAGTCTTTTGATCAGTAAAATAATTTTAGAAAATTGAAAACTAGAGTGACTGTGAAATGAAGGTTGGTTTTAAATATTAAATATCATGAAATTTGGATGAAATAATGAAAGGAAATTGAAGTTGTATGAAACGTCAGAATCCAGGGGTCAAAATATGTCACAATACATCCATCAAGGTGGCTACAAAGTGTCAATAACTATGGATGCTGTAAAAGACTTGATTTGCAGTTTGCGTAAATGACTTGGGGAAAAATACATGCAAATTCTGTGCCTCAGTAACAGTATTTGCTGCTTTTTTGTGCAATGGAAATTAGTACAAGAAATGCTGCCAAAAGACATTTCGTTCTTGTAAACAAAACCACCATGGGACTTTTATTTTGAGAAATTGAGAAGACGAAAATCCCTTGGAATAGTCATTCTTGTGAAACAATGGACATACTTCTCCAGGGTATCAGAGTATTTTTGATTATTTAAAGAGGGAAACTGCTGCTTCATAGAAAGTTCAATCTCATTGGCCAGAGTAATTACCCTGCACATTAATGATTGGCCTAGGCTGGTTTAAGACGTTTTTAGAGGGGTGACTCGCTAGAAGTAGTTGCTGTGACTCCGCACTTTTCATTCGAGTTAATACAACACTTGTAGAGACATTGTTTTTCAAAGTGTCCAACAGTGAAGATATATCATTGAGCATAATCTGAGAAATAGTATGGACAGCATTTTTAAAGCTCCTGTTTCAGATCATGTTATAATATTAGGCTTAGTTTCAGAGTTTCATTTTTTCTTGTTCATAATTATTTACTGTAATAAAACAATTTCCCGTTCTGAAACCATTTCCAGTTATTATGATTGTGTACAAGATAGTTTTCCCTCACACACAATAAATGATAAGACGGGATGACATTTACGGATATGTGTGCGTATATTTCATGGATAAATAGGCCACTCCTTTGTTTCAATTCCAACTATATTTCTGGAAACGAAACTTGCAATGTCTCGATTGCATGTCTGGTAATTCTAAATACTATTTCGCAAAATTTGCCCAGCCTTGCACATACTTCTACCAGTCATTTAAGTCAACTCCCATAATGTCATTCACAGTGTAGGTTAAGATAGAAGCCTACTCATGATTTCAAATTTTCAGAATTTATTAATTTTTCCAATAAATTGTACTTCCGAGTAATATATGGATATTGACTTAAAAAAAAATTGGGGGTCACCAACTCAATTTTCGAGAATAGGATGGTTGTATTTTAGAAAATAGTGGTCATTTTGGCGCTATTATAACGATTTTAGCACAGGTTTCTATGGCAGATATAATACGCCATATCTTAAATTGTAGGCTGTTGACCTAGGATGAAACAATGATATATTGTAAATGTTGGGGTACTTTTTGTCGGTCTCAATTAGTTTAAAAATCTGAGTATTAAAAAGTGGCAAAAATAGAATTTGTCTTTAACATTGTGCTCCATGGAACTGTAAAGTTCCTCAAAATATGCCACTGTAACTAACTAACAAACAAATGAATGGTATTTCATGGTGTCATGGGACAATAGTGTCACGATTTTACACAATAAACCAATGAACATTGTCATGCGATTTATGACCAACTTTCTCAAAAATTATGAGTAGGCTTCTACCTTAATGCAGATATATTGTAAATTACAGAGAGGTAAATACATTACATTACACAACAGTCTTTGTGCTGAGGCAGTTATGGTTCACAACCATCACCAGTTCTCTTGTAAACTTGTGTGAATGTATGGAGCTTAGGTTCATGCTGGACATTAACTGGACAGTTTAGGTATACAATAAATGATAACAGTACATATTTTAGACAGTTAAACATTCCTATACTGGATTGGAAGAACAATCAAATAACACCAGGTTTATTAAAGTCCCCTGGATGGGCAGTCACTAAATTCTAAAATTTTAGAGAATATTTTACTACATGTGTCAATTGGGCTGTAAAATAAATGTTTTCAACCCAAAACATTATATATACTATATACCGTATAAGGACAGATTGTGTCCCAAGTAAAATGGTGGTTACATCTACATGTACAATTGAGTTCATTCTAAGGTGATACACTCTTAAATATTGACAACCATAGAGGGCACTATTTGCTTTTGATTCTTCAAAGTTGTGCACATGTTTGTTTTTTGTAAGAGCATGACAAATTAGTGTCTTTCGGTTCATAAGAAACGCAACAAAAATACACTTAACCCTGCAAATACTACAGCAAAACCATTTAATTTTAGATTCTACACTTGTTTATAACACTAAATATTAACACTGAACTTGAATATCAGGAAACACTCAAATGTACACCATAAGTGCTTATAAATTTTACTATCAATTTTTAATTTGCAATGTGCAATAATTATCTAAATGTACATCAGCTAAAGTTATTTACATAAAAAAAATGTTTGCTGTTTTTTTGAATTCAAAAATGTTTCTCTGTTATTAATAATAAATGATTAAATTGAAAAAGAGAATATTTGTAACTATATATAGCAGATATGCTTCTTGCTGAACAAGTCACTGACAAACATGCATGTCAGATGTGACATTTGTCAATGTTTGAGCAGTCACTTATCCAGATTGATAAAAACGTTGGCAAACATAATTAGCTCAAGTGTCTGACGCATATTCACAATCCTTGGGTGAGCATATAGTTTTTCCAGTCATAATTCTAGTTCAACATTTTTAACTATTTTTAATTATTTTTCAATAATTTTTAGATTATTATGGACCAGATGGACTTAATATTCCCTTAGCTACAGATCTTGAATAACATTTTGGGGAAAAAAATCGGGTTAGAACATTTTATTTTGTGAATGATGACGAAAATTGTTTTTGGCACTCGAAGGGTTAAACTACATGTATATAAAACCATTTCTACTGGATACCTATGAGTAAACAACTTGTCTGTTAAAATCAATCAATAACATAGTCATGCATGCAGAATGTGTGACCTAGTGCATCAATTCGCACGTGTAGTACACCATGCACTCCTGGACACATCACATACAGGAATTACATATAGGAATGGCATCTCTGCTGTCTCATGTCATCGTCATTGTACGTAGTACTACAGTGATGATATATTCCCGTTTTGGTGATCGATGTATTAAATCACTTGTTTTATACGACAAGGCAAGGCTGGATAAATGATTGAGTGGCTACATGGCTATTTAATTAATTAATGTCCAAGAGCTAATTGATCAAGATACAGCGAACATTTGCAATATCTATGTGACTGATATCTAGTCTGCGTGGCTTTACTGTAAATGATGTTCACACAGAAAACGATACATTTACTTAATCAATGAAAAAAGTGCTTTTGATGAGTCATATGACGAAGAGCAAATAAAATATGCAATGGGGAGAGGGTGGGATGTTATCCAAATTTCTGAAGAAACAACATTGTGATTGTGATTTCACCTTGTGAATACATTTGACCTTGGTCTAGTGGACATTTTGAACTAAAAATCAAAGTGTGTATGATTGTATTATTCAACAAGTCATGCATGGCACAGTCCCTGTTAGTTATCAAATTAAAGAGATATACTGTAGAATACTTTATTTTTGCTGGAATTAATTTTCGAGAAGGGACTTTTGGGGTGTTTTGTACGGAATTTATTTTCAGTTTTTGAATGCGACGATAATCTTGCTCATTTCCAATTATGCAATTGCAAGCACCCACTATGTTCTGTGAAGCTATTAGAATTACCTCCGATTGACGGAACAGATAGCTTTTAAATGCTCGCAAAGCACAATAGTTCGCTTCTCCTGCGATTTTTACAAATGCTGTGGTGACGGTTATTATTACAGCAACAAATGATGTCAGTGAGTATATGATTATTAACAATTATTCATGAAGCGATCAATTTGAAGTAGGAAATAAAGTTAGCAAGATCTGTAGAATGGCAACAGATAATCTATTCATAAATGGCATTGAAATAATTGAGCAAGGGCTTCGTTCAGACAATAAGGTACTCTGGGATTTCACAATACATTACTGAAACGTCTTGGTAATGTAGTTCAAATACCATAAGGTAGTCTTCATGTGATTCATTTCACATGCTGATCACTGTTCGATAATTATGTCAGTTCTATTTTTAGTAAGATACCGTGAATGCGAAAAATATTGCTTTTATTCACGTTCTCATAACTGCTAATAAGTGCATGGCGGTTCATATTAGAACTTATTAGACAATTGTTCTATAAAATTCGTGACAGATCCCAAAAAATAAAGATGGGCATATCAAGTCAAAATCTTTCCATGTACAAGTATCACTGAGAAAGACTACAAAGGTCAATACTTAACAGGTTTGAACTTCTGACCCAAAGATATCATATCTTGGTGTATTCCCAGGTGTTGCACTGTTTTGTACAATATTTTAATCACTTAGTGTATGAGCATTTTTTGTTTCCTGAGAGTTGTAAAAAATATCTTTCATCGCATACGGGTACATTGTTTGTTGCAGCATCAAATAGAAGTAGTCATTGTTAGGCACACCGTAGTAGGGGTGTACTTGTTGTATAAGTCGTATTTTGATAACAGTGTATAGTAAATCAATTTTTAATTAATGTGCACTTTGATTAGAGTTGCACTACTAGTACGATTGTTAGAAAATATGGGTATAGATTTTGAATTCAACTTTGAAACAAATTATTGCACAAACTGGAGACCAACAAACACACACATACATGAGACAGTTTTTGAAATAAACTGTTTGTCTACTATTGTATCATATGAAGTATATTTCCATTGTTTTTAAACAAAAAATTTGAGCATAAGGAATACTCACCTTTCAAGGGCATCAACTCCACTAGTGCACACTGGTTGCTTTCACTAATAACTCTGTATTTAGTTAGCAGTTTCCTTGTGTTCCTCATTTTATAACTTCTCTTTGAACTGTCTTTCACAGGAGAAACCTGAAGAATGATTAATAATTCGTTCTGTCAGTCACAGGGCTTAAAGGGCAGTGGTCATTGCAGTGCGCATGTTGGAATTTCATGGAAATAAACAATGTATTTCACAAGCATTGTACCGGTATACGTCGCTATGAGTCCCATATCGATCAGGATGCAGCGCGATGACTGCAACCCTTTAAATTTCAAGCTAATACATGCAATGTGCGTAATACAGTTCAATTTGTTCACCTCACTTTTGAGAAACAAGACACGATTCTCAGAGTACGATAATTATTTTGTCCTGCTTATAGAGTGCACCCTCAAAAACAAGTACTACTATTGCACATTGTATTGGGCCAGTGGCCTATACATGTAGTATGGAATAAAAATATTATTATATATCTGTTTAAATTATTTTTAATAAAAATTTTTAAGTTTAATACATATAATATAAAGTCAATGACTGATAGTGATATCACATACATGTGTATCAATTACTCACATTCCTTATTAAATGAATGTGTGCGTGTATTGAAAAATATTAAATTGAGCGAAGATATATTTCCATTTTTTATTTTATAGTATCTTGAACCAGCTAATGAGAAGACTAATGAGTAATAAAAAATTAATCCTTAAACAAAATTTGATACTACAGGTAGATATCCCATGAGAATGTCTCACAAATGACATCAAGGTCTCATAATTTTTTTTTTTTCAAAAGTGGGGCACAGAGGCAATTTTTTTATATTATATACATCAACTAGATCAGGCAATATTAGTGAGGAATTGGCATGAACATTAATAAAAACAAAATGGCTGCCAGTTGGCCACTTTTGTTTGAATCTCAAAAACTAACAAGCCATGCATGGCACAGTCCCCGTTAGTTATCAAATTTAAGATATATAGTTATGTTTATAGTAATATAGAAGGAATATAACCATGTCAGGAATATGATTTTTTTAACATTAAAATGATTGACATTTGTATCTGATCGTCAAACAAGTACTTGTCCATATTGCGAGATATTGCTATGGAACAGCATTCAAAATCAGCCATTTTGAACACATGT